TTCCTCACCGCCCTGCCTCTTAGAATGTCTAACCTGAGTATCATGCTAAGTTCTGTAATTTCATCTACATAGGAATGTATTACTTACTTTGAAGTTTTGGAATGTGAACCCATGAGGTTATTTTTCTTGCTGTATCTTTTCAGCCTTAAGCATTGCACACATCATTAGTCTTGGTTCCAGTCTATTTCAGCGGAAGAGACACTACAACCTGCTCAGGGAGCAGCCAGAATAGCCTGCCCTTTATGGGGCTTCAAGGCTTGTCCTAGAGGCACTCTTTGGATTTGCAAGTTCATGGCATCTTGTGTTACAAAACTATGACCTATCTAAATGAAGGATGGGAATACACTCGGTCAGAAAAACACTTGCACATCCATGTTTATTGTGCATAATTGCTAAGATATGGAACCAACCCAAATGTTCACAAACAGATGAATGGACTGAAAAAATGTGGCACATACACGCTGAATACTATTCAGCCATAAAAAAAGAGACCCTGGCATTCGATAGAAAGTGAATAAATATGGGAGATTTACTGCTACGTGAAGCAAGCCAGACTACGGATGAGAGACATTGTATGTCCCCACTTACTATACACGGAATGTCTGTTCTCTATGGTAGAAACTAAAAGACTGAGAAGTATAAAAACATGGAGAGCAACTGTGGACACTAGAGGTAGTGTAGGAAGAGAGAGGGAAATGGGAGAGGGCGAAAGGGAGAGAGTCAAAGGGAAAAAGAAAGAAGCAAAGCAATTAAGGGACACAAAAAGGGAAAATTATCTGCTGCTGCTGATGTGTATAATAATATCTTAGACTTATTATCTTTGATAAATATACAGTGTATTCATGCTGGGACAACCTCATTTTATATGCTGTAATGATATACAGTGATTGAATGTAATAATAATAATAATAATAATAATAATAGAATTTTTTAAAAAATAAAAATAAAGAACAGAAAGAAAAACAAAACAGAACCAACATGAGTCCTACCATCAACAGAGTAGGGAGGAAAGATTTAGATGGTTTCACTAATATCTATCTAAGACCCCAAACTTATGGACCACCTTTTTAGCAACTTAACAAACCAGACTTGACAGTGAAAAGGGATGCCTTCAAAACATACAAAAGAGCACTCGTTACAGCAAGTTGTAAACTAATTTACTTGTAGGAATCTTGGTTTTATGTTTAATTTACTTGGAATCAAGACTTGGGTGGTGCAGGATAATGAAGACCTCAGCCAAGAGCTATTCTTCATCACCACCCAAGCTCCTTTGTCCTGTCTCTCCTGCTCATACCAACTCACCAGTGTACATTTTAAAAATAGTTCTTTGTATGGGAAGGGATGCAAAAAGTTGTTGGGAAAAAAGTGGAATTAAAGTACAAGTGTATTTCAGTACAACACAATTTTGAAGTCTATGCATAGTTTTTTTTTTCTTACAATATACATTTTCCATGAACTTTTGAAGACTCCTTCATATTTAAAAAAAAGAAGAAAGAAAGAAAAAGTACTGCAAAATTTTGAAAACAATGGAAGGGTTGACAGTGACACATTTGTTATCAAACGCCCACATGACCCTGACCCCAGTGGTCATTTCCCAGTTCTCAAATCTGATGTTAAAAATATAGGCAATGGTTTTCAGAAGTCAAACTAGAGTATGGATATTGGCAAATGTTAACTGACATGATGGGGAGTCTTTCCAAACTGAGGGGCAGAATGGCTGGGAAGGAGGGAAGCTTGACCAATAGGGTGACTCCTCCACATGCCCACAGAGGCACCCTAGAGCCAGAGACAGACAGGGAGAGACAGAGAGACAGCACCCCCAACAGGGTCTTGATAAGACCAACCAGTCCTGGGCAGTGCCAGCCAACACATGGGTCAGTCCTGAGCACTGTGCTTTACAGCTGAGCCACTGTCCGGGCCTCAGATCTGCACTGCACTTTAATCATACAGCCACTGCTAGGACAAAACGGGGGCAGAAATAGCAGGCAGCTTCTTGGAAGGGTTTATCTTTTTCATAATACACAACAGGGCCAGGCCTCAGGAAGCCCTCTGCAGAGCCACAGAGGAAGGCCAGAGTGAAAGGAATGTAACAGCAGGGGATAGTTTGGGAATGACAGAGGGTGTATGACTCAGCTTCATTCTGGAAAAGGAAAAAAAAAGGAAAAAGTGACTTAATCTGCTGTCCCCAGGGCCTTCGGCTCTGCCGTGCGTATCAGAGACAGGTGAGTGGACAGAAGGGGGAAAACCAAGCGCCCGTTTTTCTCTGGGGGAAGTACGGCCCTGTCCCTAGTGACCCTAACACTTCTCAGATGCTTGACCTCATCTCTGCTCATCCTCCCTGCACACGTTCCCAGGCTTACCATATGATTCACTGCCATGATCTCAAGCTATTTCTTGTTCCTTTTCCAACCGGAAACTTTCGATGAATCCTCAGAGAACACTGGGAAGCTGTCTGTCAGTGTTTAATGACTTCCCGGCTTGTGCTTTATACTTTTAATCTTAAAATATAACAGAGTACGAATGTGCTAGCAGTCGCCCAGATCCGTCCAGTGAGTCAATTACTCTTCGGGAATACGGAATCAGAGGCTTTCCAAAGTCCGTTAACTCTTTAGAGCCACCCCGGGCAGCTCACTGGTGCAGGGGATTTCCACGTGAGTCACCGGCCACGGTTCCTCCTCAGCCACTCTGCTTCTCTTTAGGGAGTAATGTACTTAGAGCGTCTAAGTGTTTATGCATTAAAAACCCAGAATGCAGTAAGACTCTCCAGGAAGACCAAGAAATTCCAGAGTTACGTTTCTGAGAAAGTGGAGAGGAAATCACCATTTGGCCTTCCCAGTTGTCAAGGACCCAACAACCACCCAATAAAGTTATCTCCCGGATAACTCGGGTTGACTTCTGGAGGCCTTGAGACCGCTTATTAAGACGCTTCTGGATAAACGTAGCTAAAACATTCGCACTGTGCCCTTTAATTGTATTATGGTTGAGCTGTGCTCTGGCGCGTGGCAGACCTTCTGTGAGGGTGGTGGGTGGTCATCTCGACCAGGCAATGCTGGGACAAGCCAGTCTCTTAGACCGTTAGGATGAGTGGGCTATTTCTTGTTGCACAAATGCTAAACCTACTAGGTTTGTGTTCACTTCCCATGTCCTTTACCCCCTGATCTTTCTTCCCTTTGTTTAGACTCTGACAGAAGAACTGCTAAAGTTCAGATGTCTGAGATCAATGAAAACGCCTATCCTTGTGTTGTTGGTAGCCTTTATCTCGAGAAAGCCAGAATTTGCTTTACTATGTATCTCTGCTCTCTGCTGTCAGACTCTTTTTGTTTTTGGAGAGGTTTGTGCTATAGGGCACATGTGCTCGCCAGAAAGACAAAGAGAGACAGACAGAAAGCAAGAAACCACCCCCCCTCCCCCCAGGGGGAGATGGCCACTCTGCAATCCCTCCTCCTCCATTCTCCTCTTGAGATCTTGGGCACACCTGGCATGAGTTTAAGCTACTGGGTCCAGGACTCGAACCACGGTCAACTACATGGGAGTCCAGCGACACAGTCATTATGCTAACTGCTGGTCCCCAGACTTTTAAAATCCTTGGTGGAAATTACGAGAGCATCTGGTTTCTAGTTCTTCAATTTTATCTGAATTCAGAGCAAATAGGCACCGAGTGAGTGTAGAAAACCCAAAGAGGAAAATAAGCAGATAAATGTCATCAGATCACATTCAGATCTGCTCAGTTTGCATCTATGTGTATTTCTGTCTATACTTAAAGAATGGGAAAATGGGGCCCAGCAGGTGGTGCAATAGCTAAGGCGCTGGACTCTCACATGGCCGACCATGGCTTGAGTTTTGGACCTAGCTATGAGAAATTCACACCAGGTGCATGTGCATATGTGCCCAAGATCCTCGGAGAATGGAGGAGAAGGGATTACAGCACGGCCATCCCCCCGGAGGGTGACTTCTCACTTTCTGTCTCTCTGTCTCTCTGGTGACTGCATGGGTACTATAGTGAACATCTCTCAAAACAAAACAAAACAAAACAAAAAACAAAACGGGAAAATGGACTCAAAAGATGAGGGGCTCTTTCTGGGTTCTGGATACTAATATAACCTCGTTAGCAAAGCCACACAGGATGCTCTGTGAAAAAGAGTTAATTGTGGATGAGAGAAACCGTGTTATTTTCCATGTGTGGATGGCAAAACCTGCACAATTAGATTCCCGGTGGGGAAGAGCATGGCAGATTCTATGAATAAAAATGACATCTACTTGACAATCAAACGTAACCTGTGACTAATACACGCTATCCATTATTACGTATTCTAGCTCTAGCTATAGGTTTGCATATTAACCTGCAGGCATTTTTAAATTAAAACTCAAACACTGAAAGCATAGTTTAAAGAAATACATCTGTTGTACATCAAAACCTGATATTCACTTGGGCTTGGAAGTTTCCTTTACGTTGCATGGAAGATTCGTTGTTCTTTCCTTTTTAAAGTTTATTTTACTTATTTCTTTCATGAATGGTGTAGGAGTGAGACAGGTACCTTCCACAGGGTCCCACCACACCACGATCTTCCCTCCTGCAGGCCAGCCAGTCGGGATCAGGTGTGTGCATGCCGATTTATTCAAGCTGACTTGGGAGCTGAACCTGGACCTCCCATAGGGCTCCATGGTGCACAGAAGTACCCTCCTACCACCTGCACCACTGCAGCTGGGCCTCATTGTGTTTTGTTTGTTTGTTTTTCTTTAATTGCCAGAAGGCACATGCCCTTGCCAGAGAAAGAAAGAGGGAGAAATTGTCCTCCAGTGGGATATGGTCATGCTATAATGCCTTCTATATTTCTCCATCCTTTTGGGATTTGGGGTATGCACACACACACATCCAACGTGTTTTTCACGCTGCTGGGGCCAGGATTCAAACTGCAATTGGCCACGTGGAATCTGGCTCCATCCATCTTTAGACCATGGGGCCAGCCCACCATCGTTCTTCCTTAAAAAAAGAAAACCAGCTCCAATTATGTCTGGGCTGATAAACCTACAATACTTGATACCATTTTTCCTACTAGATTTTTACTATCTGAGTACGACATGTGGACATAAACAGTCAAAAAAAAAAAGAAAACAGGAAAAAAAAACACACACTATCAAGACACTAAGACAAAGACGTCATCCCAAGAATCATGGTGCTTACGTGGTTTTATGTTCCCATATAAGGAAAGAGCAGGTAGAAATTTCAGCCCCAGACATCGTCAGATTCTGAGCTAACGGTCTCCCCCATTCCTGCACCTCCACTGGGAATGGTGGGTCTTTGTAAATTTCTTCATCGTCTTGCTCGGCGCTTCTCACTACACAGATCCAGAAGAGAATTCGGTCTTGACCTCTGACCTGCGGATATCCTTGTCGCTACCCTGGCCAAGGCTGTGCAAACTCCAATTGATTTCAAGATGGCCCCAACTCAGAAGACTGAGAGTAACCCGGCACGTGCTGATGGTAAAATACTTTAAGAGGATCTCGTGGGAAGAGAACTTTTTCCCTAAGTGTAGGTTTAGTATTCACTTACCAAAAAAATCTATTTTTTGTTCATTATAGTTCCTCCCCCACACCTGGTCTTTTAATCTTAAACACTTGCACTTACCCCCTCCGCAATTCTATCTCTGTCCAGAGAATTCCATATCGTTTTAATCACATCAGCACATGTGCTTGCATCTAAATTATGAACTAAAGTAACATAAAAGCGTGGACCTAAATGACTTCGCCAGAGAAGAGGCTGCCGACAAGATCAAGGAGGAAATGGAGGGGAGAGAAAATCGGCCAAAAGGCCCCCGAGATGGAAGGGGCAGGAGGTGAGTGGAGCCAGTTGAACGAGGCCAGTCATTCTTGCTTCCGGGCACAGATTTTGAAATTTCTCTTACTTTTCGAAATTTGACCCTGATCTGCTCTTTCTATTTGACCCAGAGGCAAGAGAAGGGAGATGCAGTGTCTCTACTGGCCCCAACAGCCTCAGGCAGCTGACGGTCACAGGCTCCATTCACAGACCATGAGTTCATGGAGAAATACTCTGCATCTCTGATCCTCCACTGCTGGCTCACCGGTACAAGGCAACCATGATGGCTCTTCCTGGCAGTTCATTTTAAGGAATAAAATGAGGAAATGATGAGCGTAATGCACAGGGCCTGGTGTGAGACAAGCACCTACCGCATAGTAGGACTCATTGCACATGAGCAGCCTGGGCCCCAAACTTGGTAGTAGAAACACATTTTCTTTTCTTTTCTTCTTCACTCTTTTTTCTTTTCCTTTTTTTTTTTTTTTTTTCTGGAGAGTTTTTTGCTATAGGGCGCGTACGCTCACCAGAAAGACAGAGAGAGACAGAGAGACAGAAAGCAAGAAATCACCCCCCGGGGGGATGGCCACGCCACAATCCCTTCTCCTCCATTCTCCTCTCGGGATCTTGGGCACGCACGCACACGCTCCTGGCGTGAGTTTAAGCCACCAGGTCCAGGACTCGAACCACGGTCAACTACATGGGAGTCCAGTGACATAGCCATTCCGCTAACTGCTGGTCCCCAGAAGCACATTTTCAAGTTCAGAACGCAGCACTGCATTTCTTGGAATTTTTCAGAGGCGACAGTCAGCTGCTGATATTCCAAAGAGCTGGGGAAAGAAAGAGGCAACTGGGAAACCAGGACAGCTGCCGCCCCTGCTACCTCCATGGACTATCATTGCTGGTGAACATGCAGGAATTCATGTTCTCTGCCTCTTGTCATGTACGGCCACTGGCAGGAGGAGAGGGAGCAAGCCCGCCAAAAGTGAATGTAGACAGCCGCGTACCCTTGTCCATGCAAGCGACAGTGGTTACAGAGAAACGTGTTCGTGTAAGCAACATGGGAGACACGATCAAGAATCAACTAACTTGCAAATTATTTCCAGGCCTATCAACTGAATTAAAAGCGTTAAGAAAGGGGTCTCTGGGGTGTGGAGTCTCCCACATCTCTCCTGTTTAGCCCTTTCATCCTGTGCATGCCTTTAATTTTAATTTATCTACCTCTAAAGTCCAAATTCCTGCCTCTTAATACGATGGCCTACAACTACAAGATGGTGTGTCCCAATGCCCTGCCATGTCTTGGAAGACAACTTTTAATTCGGAAATAAAGTTTCCTTCTCCAGAAAATCTTGGGAGCCGCTGGGGCTCGGAGAGAGACCTCCATAGCTCTAGGACAGTCCCTCCCCTCCTTGGCCACGTTTCTAAATTCAGGGCTCTCTTTGGTACTTATAACTTGTCTGGGTCCCAGGGGGAAGCTCTTCTCCTGGTTCCCTCCAGCCTTTTATTTCCTTCTCCAGAGCCCCAAGTTCCTCTGGAGCCGAGATGAGCATTCCATGGACTCGGAAAGTCAGATCCCCCCCCCAGTTCCAGCCTCCGGTAGTAAGTGAGCACACAGCACTGCATGTTTTAGTCGACACCAGTCACTGACTCCCACCCTCTCAGTGGCTCTGGCCTTTGCCACAATTAAACAGGTTTACTTCTGGAGCTGCATAAATGATGTCAATCTAGTTACAAACGGCCCAGCAGGTAAAGTCGATTAGATCATCACTGATCTACGTTTCTCTCCTCTCATAGCTAACTTCCATTTGTCTCGTTTCTAAAAATCCACACGTGGAAAATGAAGCTTCACACGGAGATATGTTTATATTTATAGAGTGATTTACACACATGACATCCTTTGAGACCCCCCTCCTTGGTAGGGAAAAACGGGCCTCACACACAGCAAATCTGGCTTAGGAAGTGCTCCTTTAATCAGAGAAAAGAAATTTATGCAGAGTCCGAGGTGCACTCACAGGGAAAGTTATGTCGTAAAAGCAGACCTCTTGCTGCTTCTTTTCCCTCTGCGGTTTACATTCACATCGACATGGGAGAATTGTACTGATAAAGACAGACTCGGGCTATGTATATGAGGCTAATTGGAAGCAGCTGAGAACAGTGGGAAGCTACGCGATCACATTTGGACAATTCCTTTCCTTATTGTGGGTGGGCCACCGCGTTAAGGTTCCAAAGCCTCCCCAGAGCTGGCCCAGAAAGCTGAATTGCAACACATATCAGAAAATACTGGGGCCAACCTGTAGCCTAATAGGGAGCCAGGTCCAACCCAGTTGATTGCAGTTCGAATCCTGGCCCTGGCGGCTTTAAAAACACACAGGGCATGTGTGGATGTAAGCTGTAAATCCCCAAAGAATGGAGAATGGAGGAGAAGGGACTGCAGCGTCACCATACCTCACTGAGGGTGCTTTCTGTCTCTCTGTCTCTCTTGGTGAGTACATGCACCCTCTGCCAATCAATAAAAACACGGCAGAATCCTTATCCGCACAAGAGACTTTCATTACTAAGTGGCCTGTTCGGTCAAAGGAATGAAAGCCACTGAAGTCCCTTTAAGTCATTCAGAGGGGCCTGGAGATTTCCAAAACAAATATTGCTGGTGCTAATACAGTCATGGTTTGAACTTTGTCTAAGCAGCCCAAGGAGCGTGCCCCAATGTATGGCCCGCCTTCTTTAAGGTCACTTTAAGGCTGACGTATGGCAGAAGGTGAAGTGTAGTGGGTCTGACCGTGTCTCAGTGACATACTAAAAAGGAACAGTAATCTGCTGAGCTCCCACCCAAGCTAACCCGAGCATGGACGTAGTGTTCGATGCTCATGTGGTTACACAGTTGGTCATGGCAGGGCTGGTAGGGAAGCCCAGACTCTCCAGGCCATGCAGAACCCAGACCTCCAAACCTACTCGTGCACTTTTCACAGCGGGAGCAGCCCAGACAATCTGAACTCTGGTGTCCACGACAGGGCCAACCTCCTGCCCAGCACCATCGATGGCTCCTGAAACACCAGATGAAAAGTGCTAAAAAGATTTCCTGAAATGGAGGCAAAATGATGAGAAACCCTGTGCTCATCCTCATGGAGGGATATTTATTAAATCTTGGATTCCTGAAATAGTCTCGTATTCCACAAACAATGATGGGAGGGAAAGATACCAAGAAAAGGTCAAGTAAAAGTTGGGAATTTTTTGTTTGTTTTCATTTTGTTTTTTGACCTCATTATACCTTCCTAGCAGAATGTGAGGCTTTGAAAAACAGCATTATACTGTGAAATTCAAAAACGCACCGTGAGAATCCTATAATCCCGCTTCTTGAACTAAACTCCAAAAGATGAAAAAAATAATTTCTGTGTATAACTGCTGTAGTATAAAAGAAAAATAATAAGTTTTGCATCTAAATACCATTGAAAACAGAACTATTGAGAAACCACACAAATTGACCCAATAGAACAATGACTGGAGGGCTGGACAGAGGCACAGTGAGAGGATGCGACAGTCTGCAAGGCTGACCCTCATGCGATGGTTCTGGGTTCGTGTCCAGAAACCTCCCTGCGTATGTGGGACACATGTGTACCCATGATCCGGGGTCTTTTTGATTTGGAAAACTTAGTCGCAGAGTCCGCAGCTGGGAGGACTGTCCAGCAGCATTTCACAGGTGACATTTAATCCTTTGATCAATTCAGTCTTCTGTGTTCGTGCTCCCACGATCCCCACGTTCACCCAAATGGGCAAACTCAAGGGGCAACAGCAAGCCCAAAAGAAGGAGGAAGGATTACGTTCTGTTTATTTCAGCCTCATCGTCACTGAGCTCCTCATTAACACCTGATCCCTCCTTTTTTTTTTTCTACTATAGCCATTAGATACACATTTCTTTTAATTATTAAAATAATGTTTACTGGGACCAGCAGTTAGCGTAATGGCTATGTCGCTGGACTCCCATGTAGTCGACTGCAGTTCGAGTGCCGGACCCAGTGGCTTAAACTCGTGCTAGGCACATGTGCGTGCGTGCCCAAGATCCTGAGAGGAGAATGGAGGAGAAGGGATTGCGGTGTGGCCATTCCCCCTGGGGGGTGATTTCCTGCTTTCTGTCTCTCTGTCCCTCTCTGTCTGTCTGGCGAGTGCACGCACCCTGTAGCAAAAAAAAAAAGAAACAAAAAAAAAACTCTCAAAAAATGTTTACTGAATGTAAATGTTTTTGGAACATTTTTCCTTTTAAATCTTTAGATTTATTAAATTAAATTAATTATTATTATTATTATTATTTTAATTTGCTATAGGTACACACACACACACACACATATATATACATATATATATATATATATAGAGAGAGAGAGAGAGAGAGAGAGAGCTATTGATTGGATTAGTCAACAGCACAAACACTTGCTTAAATTTTTTATTTTTTAGATTTTGTTTCATGAAAGAGAGAGAAAGAGAAAGAGACAGAGAGGAATCCTCCCTGGGGTCTCATGCCAAGATCCCCTCCCCCAGCCTTCCCAATCAGTCCCATGGGGTTATGGATGTACGTGCCTGGAGCACACAGGTTGACCAGAGAGTCAAACCCATGATCTCCCACATGGATCCAGTATTGCAAAAACTGCGTGTTAACTGCTGTGCCACAGGTTCACCCCAAACCTGAAAGCAACTTGGTTGACTAAAATAAACACACCCTAGTGAAATGGACTCCGGGTTTTGGTGCCACTGGTTTCTGTGCATTCTGCACCCCACAGCACTCCCCTCCACACAGAGGTTCTGTCTCAAGTCTGAGGCCGGAGTCCATCTTCTCCTGGCTTCCAGACTGAGAGAACACCACCACAGATGTAACAACTAACAGCACCTAGATGACGGACTGTGGGAACTTAACGTTTCCAGCTCCATCCCGTTAGAAAACCAAGTACCTGAAATATCCAATTAAATGGCTTGACCCAAACAAGGAAGATGGTTGGAAAAATTGCACTTTGCACAAGTGTTCCTTCAAATAAAAGTTAAATAAAACGCTAAGTGAAGCGCATTCCGCACACATGGCTTATCTCTCAAACTCCAGTTTTATTCTAACAAAACATTTTATATTGTTTACAGTGTCTGTGAAGAGCAGGTGGGGTTTTATATAACAGTGTTATCAAGAGACCCAAGTTGAAGACCTTGACATAAATAAATAAAATGGCTTCTGAACCCCTGAGCTTTGCCAACTTAGGAGACGCCTGTGTTAAAAGATGCTTGGTGTCCAAGAAGCCCAGGTTCCACAGGAGA